ACCTCGACTTCCAACCCTTCCGCCTTGGTATTTTCTTTGGAGATCCCGATTTCAATTTCAGCATTTGGAATCTTCATTCCTTCCTTTGATACACTTATGTCTGTTTTTGCATCATCTTCCACTGATGGCACTTTTTCTTCCCTGTCATTTACTTGGGTTTCAGTTTGCCCTGTCTCATCCTTTGTAGTTGCCCATGTAAATGTAGGTAATTTCAACTTCGGGAGTCTGAATTTGCTTTCTTTTCCTTCTATATCCTTTTCTCCTGTCTTCGTGCCAGTGTCCATCTTCAACATTTTATTACTCGTGGGCATGCTGTCTTCTTCTGTCTGTTCCTTTTTTACAGTATCTACTGCTTCAACTGTGCTTTCTTCTGTTGATATTTTCTGGTCTGCCTTAGGTGTTTTCATAATTTTGAATGTTGGCATTTGTATTTTCCATGTAGATGCTTCTGATTCTGCATCAGGCATATGAGGTTTCAGATCTAAATTCCTGCCATCCTCTGAACATATTTCAGCAGTTTTTTCAGGCACTGAATGTGGAACATCACTTCCCAGTTTTGTTGTTTCAGTCTGTGGCTCTTTTCTTTCGGACATTGAAATCCCAGATTTTGTTTTCTGAATCGTTAGTATTTGTGTGTCGTCTTCTGCTTGTTTTTCTCCTGTTTCCACTGTGTCAGATTTTGTGTGTAATTCTGCTTTAGCAATGCCTATTTGTAGACCTTTTACTTGTATAGATCCTTGTGCTTTGTGACCCATCATGTCTATGTTAATTCCACTTTCTCCTTCTGTTTTATCTGCTTTTCCTTTCTGTTTCTTTTTTCGGGACTTTGATGAGGGTTGTGGTGTTTGTTTATTTGGGCTTTCTTTCAGATCAGGTGTTTCTAAACTGGGCTTTGATATCTGTGTTGTTACAGCTGGTGCTTCAGGTATAGTAAATTTTGATGTTGATTCCTTGTCTTTTTCTTTTTTAACGCTTATTTCAGCTTCAGGGCTTTTTTTTGCCTGAGATGGAATGCCATTTTTCATATCTTTTAAGTCTTTTCGTAAAGTTTCATGTAGCTCCTCTGTTTTAATTTCATAAGCAGGAGATGTGGTATATTCAACAGTTAGTATTTCGGGATTTTCCAAGCTGGTATCTTCTTTATGTATTTTTTCTTTTTCAGATAACAGCGTAGTTTTTATTTCTTTTTTTTGCTTGTCTTGTGTTTCTGGTTTGGATCTGTGCATTTTGAATCCAATGCTAGGGAACTTCAGTTTCTTTTGGCTTCCTTTTTTTTGTTTGATAGGGACTTCTTGTTGAAATTGAGACTCTGTGTCTGTGCTTGTAGGGGAAATATCCTGTACAGCAGGCTCATATGCATCTGATGTACTATGAGATCTTCTGTGCCCCAGTATCTTTTTATTTTTGATTGACTGGAATTTTGGCCACGATAATCTGTCTTTTTTGGGTCTCTTGCTTCTTCCTACCCTCTGGCTTACAATTAATGTCTCCCTGTCTTCTTCTGAAATGGCTTTTCCTGAAACATGCAGTGTTTCTTCAGGAATGCTCTCACTGAGCTCTTTTTGCTGAAAGAACAATGGATAGTCAGAAGATTAAAAGTAAACTAAATATAGATACAACAGAAAACAAAATACGTGCTATAAAATATACAGAAAAATGTGCTTTTTATTCACAGTATCTACTTGTTATATAAAAAAATCCTGAAGATGGTGTATATAATTTGGCAAAAAATAAATAAAACAAATGGATTATATGACTGTAATATGTGGATTTCTGAAGGTTTATGTTCTTTGCAAAACTCTGCAGTAAGTAGAGATCTCTATATGTGTATCTCTCTATGTATATACAAATATATATAATATTTATATAAATGTATATGAAGAGAATAATAATTTTCAGTGTCATGGAGATCTATGAAAAGATCATGTCTATGGAAATACCAGTGATTAAACACATATTTTTAACAGAAAATTTCACTGATGAACTTTTGAGAAAAATATTTACTGATATTTTACATTTTGAAAAATACTGAATATAAATATTACAGAGCTTATCTGAGCGTGTTCTATCAGTGGACACAACAACAAAAAAAGTGCTGACTCACTAGAGAAGAATATTCTTCTACCCTAACACAAGATTTTGGCTTTATCCAAAATCTATAGTCTCGCCCAGGATATTTATAAAGCTGCAAAAAATGTTTGGGATTTTTCTCTCTTCATGAATATTCATGCTTGTAAGTTTAAATACATACCTACGTCTTAAGAAGACACAAGTGTGTATTTTCTGGTCTATCTTGACACAGCACATTACTACAGTGTTATCCAAACTTTGTAAAATAATCAAATGACTACCTGACTCAATCTTTCCTTTTTGTACTGGGCTGCAGACTGAATGTATTCTAGTTCTTCTTTCCCAGCAATTTTTCTTTTGAGGCTGAATTGGACTCTGTATGGCTCAGAATACTGGAGAATCTTGAGTGCATCTTCATATTTAATATTATCGAAAAATATGGTAGCACTTAGAAGCTGATCACCTGCAAGTGGAACCAGACATTATTTTAATTAGTGTTTTCTTGCAGTTCTTCAAATTTTTTTTAATTTATGCTTATTAAAAAAAGTAATTATCACATCCTATTTATTTAAAATAGAAAATGATGTTCACATAATAGAATCACAGAATAGTTAAGGCTGAATAGAAGGGACCTCTGGAGATCATCCAGTCCAACTGCCCTGCTCCGGAAAAGGTCAGCTACAGCCGGTTGTCTATGTGCAGTCAAGTTTTGAATATTTCCAGGATGGTGACTCTGCAACCTCTCTGGAAAACCTGTTCCAGTGTCTGACCATTCTGACAGTAGCAAAGTTTTTTCTTATATTTTTCAGTATTTAGACTCTGGACTGTTCTTGTTCGAATCATTATTTTCTGTAATTTTGTGGAATACTATTTTGTGAAAGAATCAAATACAAGTTCTTCATCAATGTTATAACTTGGGTTTTTTTTTTCCATTTTATTTATGTATACACTACTTTCTACATATCTTTTTCACAGTTCCAGTGAAAATTAGATAATTTTTTTTATGGCATAAGAAAAAATCACATTTCTTTATTGTTTAAGAAACTGATCTTTTAGATTATTAACATGGAAAGTTTAAGTTCACACATAGTATTTAATTGGTTTGGGATCTACTTTTTCTGTTACCTAAAGAGGTGACAGATCAGGTAGCTTTCTATATGCACACACAGCTACATACCTGATTATTTTAAGATATATTAAAAAAAACCACAATAGAAAATAAGACTGTACCTTCTCTCAGACTAAATATTTTTGAAGCAGGAGATTCCTTAAGTACTTTTTTAATAAATATTCCTTCATTTCCTCCACCCGCCACACTAAAACCACTAGCACCAGCTTCCACTTCTGTTTTCAGGGTCACTTCCATTGTCTCCTAGATATAGAAAAAAGTGTGAATTTATAACTTTTATTCATTTGTATCAAAGTGTTTTACATTATTCTACAATAAAAAATTGATTCTCCTCAGGTGTATTTTCAGTAACTCAAGAAAGATTATCTAAGATATAGAATGTACTTATTCAGTGTGGGTTTGATTCTGTTCTAAATTAAAATTAAGCACATGTGTTAGGGTTATGCTGGATCACAGCCATAGGGAAAATAGGTTGTAATTTTAAAAACATTAAAGCTACGGAATCTTTTAGGGCTGAAAGATCGTTTTTTTCTGTGAAGATGTTAAGCACCTGAATTAGAGTCAACAGGCCAGAAAAGTCAGACTAAGAGCTAATGCTCTACTGTAATCAAACCAGAGAAGGCTAAAGAATGCTGAAAAGAACTGTGGAAGGACCCTAAATAGGACAAGTAAGTGTTCATGTCTGTGTCACAACTAGGCAATTTGTGAAGTTCCTGGTCAAAACAAGTTGAAAGTGACTCTGCCTATTTGTCCTTCCCTCTGTTCACCCATCCACATCTGTGTGTTGTAATGGATTTCAGTATTTTGGAAACCACATGCCTAGAACTACTGAGTGCTTTTAGACTGACCTGTGGATGACTCTGTTTTGATTTGTCTGTAGAATATTTTTTGTTTTCTTCCTGTAGCTGAAAAATAATTTGCAATTTTTTAGTGTTCAGAAGTTGTGCTGTTGTAAAGTACAACAAAAATCCTACATCAGTTAAAATGCCTGGTTTAGACTAAGAACTGAAGCTGACTTTAATAGCAACAGGGCAAAATTGGAATCTACAAGTGCAATGGATAATGTGAATTATTTAACTATATTATTCCCAGTAGTTAGATACCAAGGCCTCCCTGCATTGTACCAAAATTTGCATGAAATGAACACCAGAGACCAATAGTACGAAGGGCTTTTCTGTGTGTTACTAATATAGCACACTTCTCATGCTTTCCTCTTTGTGAATATACTTTTTCTTCATTTATTGGACTTCAGCATGAATTTCAAACTGTTGCCTACTTAACACGATGGTACTAGTTAAATCTAAAAGAGGTACAGGTAATTTTTAAATACTTATTAGTTAGATTTAAGCCAGTTAAATATTCTAATAGGGAAAAGTATTGTGATTTCTTGACACTCTATGTCCTTTAAGGAATGAAATAAAATGATTTTTTTTTGCCAAGAAACAAGAACATGGCCAATGACAAGTTCAGTACACTATAAAACCATCAGTGAACATGGCCCTGATTTTGGTGGGGACAGGAAGAAAATATGGCTGCAACAACATGCTGTTGTGTATGAGTCTTGGCTAGTTGTAGGACCTAAAGCCTCTTGGCGCAACTTGATAAAGCCAAGCATGCATGAAAACTCAGTGTCTTGCCTTTAAATATTCTTCTTCTATGGAATATTCATAAACTGGAGAGGATCCTTGTGGCCTGGGACGGATGTCTTCTACTGCCACTTCATTAACCTGTGGAAAAGAAATGAGTGGTGGGAAAGGAATATCCACCATTAAACAGTGACCCATTTTTTTAGAAGAGGTTTTCTTCTTAGGCATAGTCTCCTTCTGTGTACCAATCTTTCATTACTAGTGGTGGATGTGGAATAACCAATAACTCTTTCCTTAAGTCAAGAACAAAAGCAATTCTCATTTATGGATGTTACTCAGGAACACAAGGGACAGCCTCCTGAGAGATAAAAACAATGGTATGCTGATTTTGGTTCTCTTTATGAATTGTATGCATCTATGGGTTGAACAAACTGAAAATACTGACACATCGATTAGTAATAATTGAAAAAGGCAATAAAAATTCCCTCCCCTGCTTTATTTGGACACCTAACCTTTGCCTCCTGTGGCTGCAAACTTTATTGCCCTCTATAACCACGCAAACTATGGAAGCGTCCCAGCAGGAACTTCCGCTGACAAACACTCGGCATGCTTCCTTCTGGAGTCAACAACAGGGAACCTAAACGGGCTAAAGCTTTAAAGAAAAGTTACTGTAGTCAACAGCCATGAAATAGTTTGCTAAGTCTTCGTATTAAACTTATGCTGGTGAATCATGGCAAAAAGCAGATCACTTTTTATATTGAAGCATCATTCTGGCTTTTGAGCTGGCAGGAAAATCCCAAGCAGAAATACAACATTTTTGATGAGGAAAAGAATCACCAGCAAGACCCAGCTATAAACAAAATAAGATTCCATTTTAACAAGGAAACTGCCAACCCCCCCCATCCCAAAAAAAACATAACTCTCAAAAAACTCACAGAATCTTCATCCTCTGCATCTGCATCAGCATCAGCATCTCCTGGAGGCTCGGCCGGTCTCAGCTGTCGTCCAGAACCTGAAAACAGCATATAGGTGGTTGGTGTCTGTGAGCCACACAGAGCACAGAGCAGTTAGCTTGCAAGCTGAAGCTCTCCAGAGCAGCACACCTGGGGAACGTGCACAGGCCAGCTGTAGAAAGTCCTGCTTTCCTTTAGATTCCTTATCTCAGATCTCATCAGGTCGATCTTTCCAAAGATACCAGAAATATTCATATCCAGAAATGTAAAGTCTTTTGTGAAGGAAAAAAATCCCCAGATTGAAGAAAACATAGAACTAGGTCAGTATTTTTATTATTATTACCAAGGGAGTCTTGAGGTGTGTATTGGGCAGAATTGGCAGGGTTTTGGCAGCAGTGTGGCTGTGGGGTGGTTTCTGTGGGAGGAGGTCATGGACCACCCTGTGCCAGATGCAGCCACTTGCAGCCAGCTCCGCCTGCAACACAGAACTGATCGGAGGAGTTTCTGGCACCTCTTTGAAAATGTATTTAAGAAAGGGTAGTAAATGCTGAGAGAAAGAGAAGGAGGAGAAAGACAGCAAAGACCACACCAGAGCAGGAGGAGAGAGGAGAGATGGAAGAGCAGAAAAAATGCCAGAGCAAAGTAGGATCTTGAGAAGGGGCTGGAGGAAGAAAAGCCACCTGAGCAAGGGCAAAGAAGAGGAAGCTTGACTCTAATGGGTCGGTGGCTGCTGGAGGAACCCACCCTGGGGCAACTGAATACAAAACAAGTAGTGGAAAAAGAAAGGCAGTCACCACCTGCTGACCCCCATCTCCTGCATCAGCCCTCACTTCCCCAAAAGGACTGAGTATAGCCCACAGTGAGGGGACCGGAGACCGGAAAGAGGGGAGGAGAGGTGTACAGAGGGGAGCTGAGGTGCTTTTCCCTAATTGGTTTTATTTTTTTTAAAATATCAGAATCAGTAATTAAAAGTTCATTAATTTGCAATAAATTAAATAAATTGAAACTCCCCATCTTGAACTTCTTCCTTTCTTGATTTTTAAAGGTATTGAAGGCAGAGAGAGATGTGATGAAGGAGATGGGTTGTTTGAAAGTATGATTCTGTTGAAATGCCTTAAATTGGACATCAACGAATGAAAACACTATGAATACATCCTCATTTTCAGAGATCTAGGCTTAGCCAATAGAGGACGGTGTGGCTGAATTACACATTCGCTGATGCACAGGCTATTCTAATACATGCACAAGTCCTTGTTCTGATAACTGTCTCTTTCCTGTCTCCATGGTCCATTTTTTCAAGCCATCAGGCTGCGTAGCTGTCACACCCAGTTCTGCAACTGCCATTAGTATACATAGTTTTGACTCTCCTAAACAGATCCTCTGGCTTAAAAATATGCTCAAACACTAGAGAGAACAACCGCAAGCAGAAGTGTGCAGCTCATTCATTGCCTACTTTCAATGAAGAATCCTTGGGCTGGAACACAACATTTCTGGATGTGGATATTACATGCTGTTTGTGCAGACAAGCTGGCATGACTTATGCATGTATGCAATCACTCTAACTTACACAAGTTGCCAAGCTCTTGTTAAAATGGCTGTGATTTTGCTATCCTTTCTTCATAGTTTTCTGATCTCCTACATTTAATTTTTCCTTGACTTTTTTGATGAAATTATTTAGTACAGGCAGGGTTTTGAAAGAGTTATGCCACGTGATCAGTGATGGACCACTTTGTTAGGACGAACGTGGGGATATCCCATGTCAGTCTGTGGGCCAAGTTTCCTATCTTGACAGCATAGAGGGCATCCACATTAGCCATATATACATCATCTAAATAGCTCTCCTGTGGTATTTTAGCTCCAGAGAACTAGGATCAACTCAGAACACATCAGGGCTGCCATATCATGCCTTGTTTAGCCTTCACAGGACTAGTCCTGACGCCTATGATGGACAATTCTAGAAAAAGGTCTTAATGCAGACCCTAATTCAGATTAAAGACATGCATAAATTGGCTTGATTTTTTTTTTTCAAATGCTCTAGCACTGGCAATTTTCAGAAGCTCAAGAAAACTGGAAAATAAGCATAACCTTGTTAAAAAAATTAGATGTGGATTTATGAACCTGATTTTAGGCATTTTTGCTTGAAAATTCTGGAATCCATTCATGAAGCTCTTCACCACATGTATTTTAATAAGCATCACATGTGGAGAAGAGCTGCAGGTCTGAGGCTTGATTGTTTAATTTGCGTAGTACTTCTAAAGATTCAGGTGACAACAGCAAATTTTATGGCTGTTACTAAAATTCCAAGAAATACTAAGAACTTAGTCTTGTGGCATTGCTGTATTTTTCACTTGGGAGAATCCCACCCACAAGCCCTGCAGTCCAGGAGAATGACTTAACAGAATATTGCTTGGATAGCATTTACTCTTCAGTGCTGTACTTCAAGGCTAATTACAGCATTGATCCCCGGTGGCTGCCAATAATTTTGCTACTGGAAAAGAAAAAGGAAAGAATTATCTGGGTGAATTCTTGGGCTGGTTCACTGCTGTTTCTCTTGGTTTACTCTGTTGTAACTTCAGTGACATTTTAGTTGCTAGAACTGGAGCAAGGCAAGTATGGGGAGCTCCATTCTCAGGACTTGAATGGCCCTGGGTAGTTTATGCAGTTGATTTATCATCACCCAGTTGGGCATATCCTTTGAGTCTAGGGTACTGTACAGGTGGTAACAGAGGTAAAACTTTTAAAAACAGATGTTTTAAAAAAGGATACTTAGAATGATTAGGTGACCACCAACTTCAAAATCTTCCTGTTGCTAAGACCGGGCTACTCATGAAATCCAAGAGAATTAGATCACTTCCCTCATTGAGACTTGAACACTTATTTCCCATTGGGATGCCATTTTAAAACAACAAACGACACTGCCAAGCCTTGTTCAGTGTGGATGTAGAGAGATAGACCTGGTCTGGATGACATCTCATCTGGGCCTGGACCAGGAGAGAAATTTCTTATATTCGACCAGGTCTTGATCAAGCAAAGCAGTGGTGTATGAGGCACAAGGGTGGCTTCACACGCTTGGCCCAGTATTGGGAAGCAACTGCTCCCCTTGTCCTTGCTACAGGGGCTGCAGATCAAGGTTTGCCAAAATGTCACCAGGAAAATCCTCTGCTGTTACGATGAAAATCTGTCAGCATAAAAGGCCTCTTTCATCCACTTCACAATGGCCAGGAAGGGACAGAGTCCTCCTGTGAAAGCCTTTAGTAAACTGTTACCTCTCCTAAATGGTGGTAATAGGACACTTCCCTACAAAATGGAGCAACAGACTACTGTTCCCAGGGCTAATAGGGATGCGGCTGAGATTGCATGAAGGGACATCAGCTACACAAATGACCTTCCTTCCCAAAACTTCACACTGAGGCCTTTCCATCCACCCTGATTTCCCCAAACTTTGCCTACTCTGCCCTTCTACTGTAGCTAACCCATGTCATGAAGGACTTCTTGTGCCCCTGATTGCTATTGTAGACTAAGATTTGCTTCAGATTTTTTTTCCAATTTGGAATGCATTGAAAACAAATCTATAAAAGAGGGGAATTACAGTACATTGATGAATTCCATTTTCAGCAAAGCCTTCTCTCTGTGTATAAAAGACTGTGCCAATAAACTATGATTTATATGCATGTCATTCGCATGCCCCAAATAGTAGCGATGCCAACATTTTATAGGTTTTAACTTTTTTTATAAACTCTGGACAATTAATGCTTTGTTCAAATTGTTTTCATAAACAAGATGGAATTTACATCAGTGACTACTTCTAATAGTCACTGAACTGACTTCAGAACAAGGGAATTTTTTGAAAGTAGGCAGTAGGAGTTATATAAACTGGAACATTTTCATATCATATGACTGAAAATTGTGTTTTCTTTTTTAAATGTAATTTAAAAAAAATATTTTATTTTTAATCTAGCAGCCCAGATGGACTGTTATGCATAAAATCACAAAAACGTAAAACTAGGTTAATTTTTTTGGTATTCACATTGAATGGGTAACAGTCTCCAAAACCACTTTTGAGACATTATAATAAATTTAAAGTATGACAGACTCATTAAATTCCAATCAATTCTACTTTAATATATTGTATAAACTGAAGAGAAACTTGGTTTTAATTGGGACACTGGTATATTAATTTGCCATAATCTGTATCCTTTAAAATCAAATTAACAATAAACCAGCACATAACAATATCTGAGATGTTGTTAAAAAAAATAAACTATAATGTCCTTTTCTGATCATCCTAGCTTACTTGCTTACAAATTATATTTCTTTCTCTGCAATTTTTAGATTTGGGCTTTCTGTCTTTGAAGACTTTATACTAAATTTGTGATTGCATATGAATGTAGAGATTTTAAGTAATCTGCTCTTATTTTTAAGCATATAACTTTTCCTTGCATCAACTTCTTACGCATTATCTTTCCTCCTAAAAATGGTTTTGTTTTGTTTTATTTTATTTATTTTTTGTTTTTGTTGGAGAGAACTAAAATGCTGCTGTTGTGTTGCTTTCCCTGGGATTTTAATGTAGATCAGTTTAAATGACAAGAGTAGCAATGGTTGTAATGCACATGTTTTTTACAAAGGAGCAGGTTAAATATTCCCCATTCTCGAGTAATACCCTCACAAGGAGAAGAGGTTCCTTCTTGCCATATACTGACTGGTATGAATTATCTAAATTCACTTCAACAACTGATTTCTCTTAAGAGACAGAAACCTGAGCTGTGGTAAACATCTGTCCACAGATGAAAACTTGTATGCTTTGCTCACTCGTTTATTACTCTTTGTTGATAAGTGAAGATCACAATCTGTGCCTTTTCTTTACTAGGATTTTGGTGTTTGCTAGTTACCATTTCTTAGCTATGATAAGAAACAAGCAGTGCTGTTTGTGCAGTATCATGGAAATGAATAGGTTTGAGCCCATGGCCAGTTAGAAGATTCATGCCTAGACATGTGGGCCAGGCTAGGACAGCTTTAGATCAGGTCTCTTCTGACAATGCAAAGCATGCTCTGGGCATAT